CTGACGTGACATGTTCGTACGAACCCTTTGTACGAACAAAAGTAAGAGAAATTTAGGAGAAGAATACGAACATGTTCTTGCATGAGGCCCAATGTTTCTAAAAGAATTTCAGGGAACTGGTTTAGTAACAGTAGAAAGTCCCTCAGAGGTTTTCAGTAATCTGACAAACAGTTTGTCATTAGAAGAAGAGGTGAGGTGTAAACAGAAGGAAAGAGTTAATCCGGTCACATCTAAGGGGAAYGCTTGGTTTTAACCTTCTTGACCAAAATCTTCTTTAAACTTGAGTTTTTCCAGGTCCTGCTCGTTGACTGTGGGCTTGGTGCTGCTCAGAGACCTCAGCATGTCCGCCTGGGTGGACCAGATCAGAGGAGACCGGTTAGACCCTGACCACCAGGACCACTTCACGTGTCTCCTCACCATGGACACCACAGGCTCCAGGAGTCTGTCCCCGGGGACGTCCATCCACATCATCTGTACGGCACCGGAGTCTCCTGGTGAGCACGGGGGTCAGCAGGTCTTCAACCACCACTTCTGGGTTGGTTCTTAATGGCCCCTGAACCTTCAGAGCCAATCAGATTCAATATGACTGAGTGAAGCCATGAGTTTAGACTGGGATTAAAAACAAGTTGAAACAGAACAACTCGCTTGTTCCACATCAAACAAACTGTTTTTATGTTGGGATAAAAAGTTTAAACTGTCTGTTAGATTCAAGTTTACCAAAGATTCTTTTCAAAGGTAGATTTTCAGTTATTACAAGTGATTTCAGTGCTCTGGAAGTTTTTCCTTTTTGATTGTGATAGTTACAGTTTTATACAACACCTCATCAAAATGTTTTCATTGTTTATCACTTCCTGCCTTCATGTTTCTGTGAGTCTGTCATGTAGTGACGTGTCCTTCTGTGTTGAGGCTTCGAAGCGTGTGCTGAGTAWTAGAGGAAGAGTTTTATAACTGTAATGTACTGTAAATTCAAGTGTACKAACATTTAGTGATATAACATTTTCAAGGCACAAGATAGAACAGCGCTAACAATAGAAATAAACAGGAGAAAAATCATACACATTCACACAGAGTTGTATACAACTTCAATCAGAAGTCTTCAAATATTTTCAAATTTTCTAATCCATTCCATAGACTTTGCATTCTTACATTTCATTTGTTTAAAAGCAATTAAATAATTTTCAACACGATGTCTTTTAAATACATTAAAGATAGGCTTTACTTTTTTCCATTTACAGCAATGAATGAAATATTTTGACAAAAGTAATAAATTGTTTAAAACACAGTCTGATTGTGAGTCCTTCAAGTTCAATCCAAATATTATGTTGTCCAGAGTCAGTGTGTCCTGTGGCTGGATCTTTGTAGAAAACCAGTCCAGAAAATCCTCCCAGAAAGTTTTTGTGTAAATACATTGATAAAAAAAGATGGTCCTTTGAATAGAGGAGGATTTTTGTGGAGTGTGTATCGAGGTTTGTGTTGATGACACTTGTAGTGACGTTTGAAGCCTCGCTGGCAGGTCGTACCACGTGGCTGATTCAGGAACTGGCTCACCTGTATGTGTGAGATTCGAAAAAGGCAGTAAACACTGTTGAATCTCCTGAAACATTATGTTGTCATGAAATTGTATCATGTAATTTAAGTTATTCAGCTGATTGACTTTTTGTCCGATGGAACCAGCAAGAAAGAGGAAAGTTCCTCCGGTCTCCTAATAATAATAATAATAATAATAATAATAATAATGTATGC